AATTCCTTCCCAATATCCCATCTAACCCTGCCCTCTGGCAGTGGGAAGCCATTCCCCTCTTGTCCTGTCCCTCCACCCCTTGTCCCAAGTCCCTCTCCAGCTCTCCTGGAGCCCCTTTAGGCACTGGAAGGGCCTCTTAGGTCTCCCTGGATCCTTCCCTTCTCCAGGTGAACCCCCCCAGCTCTCCCAGCCTGGCTCCAGAGCAGAGGGGCTCCAGCCTTCCTCTCCTGGAGAGTGGAAGTAGCGATTCCTGGCTTCCTTTTGAGTTGCTTGCAGAAATACACCTGAAAACACCCAGAAATTGTTGTGTTTCACTTTTTCTTTTTTTTTTCCTCCCTTTATTGGATTACAATTTCTCTGCAACCTCTCTGTGCCTGTTGGGAGTTATCTGACAGTGCACATGTGCTTCATCCATGGCCCCTTTCCCAGGAGCAGCCTCTTCATCGAACCTAAATATTGGGGCCCTGCTTGTCCCTGTCAAGCTGGATCACAAATGAATGTTGTTTCCCCAGAGCAAATGGAAACTTATGGAATAACAAGCCATGAAAGAAATAATTGAAGTTGGATGAGCTTTTTTAAAGTGTTGTGTCTTGAACTCTCAGGGAAACTTTGCTTTCAGAGAATGAACATGGTTCCTGCCAAGTACAATCCTTGCTCCGTGGTTTATTTGGGAATAGGATCTGCTCTATTCAAGTTTTGCTGCAGACATAATAATGTATCTAAATTAATTTAGAGCAGAGGCAAAAGATGATTAATATTTCAGATAATTAAAACTTGCTTCTAAAGAGATTTCCCTGGGAAATCTCTCTGGAGATTGTTCTAATTACATCGGTGCCAAAATACCGTAAATAAAAAATAAATCCCAGTTTTGCTATTTTTCAGCAATGGCAGGGGCAAAGTGTACTTGATAGTCAGAGCAGGAACAATAACCTGATGAGAGTTTTGTTTATTTAATATCAAATTACCCAAGGTGTGCAGGTTTAATGATGATGAGAGCTCTTAGTCTTCCAAGCCAATGTGAGGGCCATTACTCTGAGACCAAATAGACTGGATTTCAGCAGGTAATTTGCTCTTAATTACAACGTTGAAGAAAATGACTGAAGCAGAGAATGCCAGCAGGAAAGTTGATAATGGCCTCTGTTATGCTGTGATCTTGGGAATTTCTCACATTTCCAAGGATTTGAGCTCTTAGCACTTGTGGGCCTGTGAAGTTCTTTTAACTGTTAACGTGACCTTCCCTGCGTTACTTTGCTGAACACCCAAACATGTCAGGCAGACCCAGGTCTGGGTGATTAAAGGTGCTGATTCTGCCTGTCAGGTGAAAGGAGGGAGTTTGGATTTTTGCCTGTGGGTGCCCCTGGGAGAGTCCAGACCCTGATGTCCCCCAGTCTGTCAGTCAGTGTCTCATGAGGAGACCCTTCACCCACAGATTCCCAAGCTCAGAGGGTACCTCGATCACCCTTTTAGGGGGGCTCAGCAGAGCCAAGACCCCTCAGTGGGCCCTGCAAGGACTCCCCTGAGCAGTTCAGGGAATAACCCTCTTTATTGACCCAGACTGGGACAGGTTAGTGAGGATGGAAGGTTGT